AGAACAATCATTTTTTATGGAAGAAAAGAAAAAAGAGCAGAGCCAAGCGTTATGGGGCAGGGTGTTCCATCTCCGACGTGCACTGCCAGTCCTGGGCTCCGGGAGCGTTCATTACTCACCTCCAAACAAACACCTTCACTAAAATTAAGATGAAGCATGGCAACCATAAAGTTTAGCAAAACCCATGGCTGTTTTTTTGCTTTTTATCATTTACTTGTGCCCTTCTGATGTGTTTGGTTATTTAAAACACCTTTCGTGCCAATTCCTCATCCCCTACTGCGATGGGAAGTGCACCGCTACCCAACTGCGATTTTTCTTCATTACTTCCAACAGACACTTGAGTTTTTGCTACGACCGCATAGTTTTGATGTGTTATTGAGCAGAAGACCACGATGAGAGCAGAGAACGAGAAAGCAAAGCTCTGCAGCCATGTCCTGGGACTCTCCCCCCACGCTGGGTATGGGGGACAGGGCTCCTCACCCTTCTTAGAATCATAGAATTGCTTAGGTTGGAAAAGACCTCAAAGATCATCAACTCCAACTGTTAACCCAGCACTGCCAAGTCCATCACTAAAACATGTCCCTCAGCACCACAGCTACACTGCTTTTAAATATTTCCAGGGATAGTGACTCCACCACTTCCCTGGGCAGTCTCTTCCAATGCCTGACAGTCCTTCAGGGAAGAAGTTTTTCCTCATATCCAATCTAAATCTCCCCTGGCACAACTTGAGGCCATTTCCCCTCGTCCTATCCCTTGTTACTTGGGAGAAGAGACCGACCCCCACCTGGCTACAACCTCCTTTCAGGTAGTTGTAGAGAGTGAGAAGGTCTCCCCTAAGCCTCCTTTTCTCCAGGCTAAACAACCCCAGTTCCCTCAGCTGCTCCCTATAAGACTTGTCCTCCAGACCCTTCACCAGCTTTGCTGCCCTTCTTCCTTCTTGGAAGGACATGATAAAATCCCAATGAGTAGCTCATGCTTGCACAACAGCAGGAGTTTGCACAGAGGGTTGCAACCATTGGAGAAGATTTAGAGACGCTCAACCCTAGACAAAGTCAAAAGGAAAAGCCCTATGAAGGTGTTTCTGCATCGCTGACAAACAATTAAAAGGAACAACCTTCTTGCACGCCAAGCAAGGGTCAGATCAGCACGAGTGGAGGTACCTAAAGGGTTACCTACCCCTGTAACAGCCGCAGCAAACATGCCTGCCCCTGTGCACATGTTCCTCCGGCCAGCCAGACTAGCCCGAATAAAGAGTGATTGACAAGTGACAATGAGAGGGCATGAAGAAGAGCAAGTAATTGAGGTGAAATGTCAAGTTAATACGTCAAAGATGAGGAAGATGGGATAGAAAAGTAATTTAATCATGAAGACTTGACAGCACAACAACTCTGCTGACTCTTTGCCGCAAAAGCAGCGTCTAAGTAGTACTTTAGGACGTTCTTCACGAACATTTTCTACCACTGCTCCTGGTAGAGATGGTAAAGGGGATCCAACTGATGAGCCCAGGAGGAGCTTCTGGCTCAGCCTTCCCTCCTTCTTCCTTTTTCACATGGGATTTGGCCAGGCCCAGAACTTTTTTCAGGTGCAAATGCACACTGGGCCTTTGAAACCCCCAAAGCTGAATCTTCTCGTAGCAACTGAGAACCTGACCTTTTATTTCCATTCTTCTTAAGGATTAAACACCTAAAAACCATTCTGCTTTAAAAAAGACTCAGTCTTTCATCTTAGATTTAAGAACATACAAATGCATGCCAGTTTAGATCCACCATTACTGGATGAAAGACAAAAGTATATACAGATATTTTCTTCCACCTTTTAAGCATTAATCCATTTTTCCTTACATTTACTATGAGAGGGCTTGGAGATGCCCCAGGGGTTTAAATCTTCGTGCTAAACGTCTGGCTAGAGAGAAGAAGGTACCATGAGGCATGACCAACCTCTCACTCCCTGGGCCTCAAGACTTGAAACCTTTCTAGAATTTCCATTTCTCGCTCTTAAATAAGACTGAACCTAAACTTATAAGTAAGATTGAACCTAAACTTATAAATAAGACTGAACTTAAACTTTTAAATAAGACTGAACCTCAGCCTTTTCTGCCTCATCCCTACTCTCAGAACAACAGACATCCACTTACAGCAGCTCCTTACAAGATCAGCAATGGCTTACGAACATCAATTTTAGACTATTTCCCCAGAAATACAGTGCAATATCTACCTGATAAGCAGCTGTTGTTGACAGGAATAAAAAGCAGCGCCAGGACACTGATCTATCACTACTAATAAGCTGCTGCTGCAAGTGAAGGTGGTTATTCGTATTCACACCTGGGCTGGTTAGGGCTGCGTGCTGGCAGGTATCAAGTACATCCTCATACCACAACATGCTCATCTTGGTTCTTTGGCATTTATTTACCGGTGAGGTCAACTTCATAGTGTTATTTTCGCCCTGCCCCCCACTCCTTGCTTCATTTCTCAGCTTTCCCGCAGTGCTGGCAGGGAGAGGCTCCGCTCGCCCCAGGGCACCCACCCGGCACACCGCCATGCGGAGC